CGCCTCATAAAAATTTCAACTAGCAATTTTCTAAAAAAAATGTTACATAACTCGAGCCCTTCAGTTACAATATAATGAGATAATACGTATGCAAAAGATTACATACGCTTACATTATTCACTGTTGAATAATACGCTAAAGTAAAAGAGATAATTTATTTCCCTCGATTAATTTTGCTCTTCGTCTATTACTCTTTTCGAAGTTCCTGAGCGAAAAAAGAAAACCAGAAAAACCTGTAATAGCAACTTTTCTGAGATACGACTCGGTCTGATCTTGCCATTAATCGCGGACGCCGTTAATTACGCGGGTGTACACGTACGTGTGCCGGAGCTACGAACTACGTATCCATCAAGAAGAAGGAACTTGGCGGAATGAAAATTCTTGTAATCGCGATACTCCGTTGCGGAACGCAAAACGTCAATTAACAGAGATTTCCCCGATATAACCGTAAATTGATCCTCCCAAGAGTGATCCATTCGATCTTTTATATAATAGACTGTATTATTCAAAAGCCTTCCTATAGGCGAGGATTCACCCGGGAATCTCTTATCGTCGATTCCTCTCAAGCAGATCAATCCGTAGATAGATTACGTCTTTAATCAGATGTCGATTATTAATTTCTGTAGGAGTGATCAAACGAACTCAAGATAGTAGATTGTGTTTAATATTAACACTATTAGTCTCTAAAGTGGAACTAAAGAAAGAAACATAAGAGTACACATCCGTTATATTATGTATTCTCATATTATTTTTTACTTTTACTATAATTCCAATTTAATTTCCAGTATCATGTACCTAAATATAAACTCGTTTAAATTGTAGTAATCGCGATTTATCGCTTTTGACATGAAGAACGTGTAGTCTAGCCACTTCTTCGAAGATCTAAATGCGATCGACGTGCCACAATTCTGTTCTTACCACTAACAGCAATTGCTATAACTGTTCCCCTTTGCACAGGTAATGAGAAGCAACTCGAATACACAGCGTCGAAAGAATTTACCGTTCATTCTCATCGTAAATATTAATGGTTCCACGTTCGCATCTGGTTCGGATTAAAAGTCCTATCAGTCTGCGTTTCATAAGTCTGGCTCGCGGGCATAGTTTTTATTTTCACGATCTCGTCGAATCGACGTGTAAAAAGGAAAGTACATATCCGAGAGTTCGATCGTGACCCGGAATCTTTTATTTGCGATCGAACGGGACTTGAGAGGACGAGAATACTCGCCGGGGTGTGCCTTTTCCGTGTTCTCCTGCAGCTCCTGCGTCAACTTTCTCTGCATTGTTAGCGTGCTGGACGTTCCGGGCATCCCTTCGTGCCAGTCGACACGAAAGTATGAGCGCGCGCAATCCGCATCGTGTCGCGGATCGGACGGAAAATAAAAAGTGAAAATGTTGCGAACGAGTCAATAACTTCGCCGTGGCCGTGGTCCGATTGCCTGCACGCGCTCGGCCGCATCGGTACAAGAACAATGAAACCTCTCCGCCTGTGGGCAAGGCACCACTCGCGAGGTCTCCCCTTTCCCGTTCTAAAAATTTCAGCCGCTGCACGAAGACTCGCGGTCCCTTCATTAAGCGTGAACGGAATCTCGACACGGTGATCCAAGGGTCCTGTTATTTCATTGTGTCTACTACGCGTGCACATACGTTCGGTATTCGAGCACACGTCGCACCAGGCACCGTAATCGCGTCGATGATACAACTGTTTAACGCGCGCGACGCGTCGAATCGCAATCGCGAAGATGTATTTCGATTATTAATCGGACGGGGTCGAGCTAGCGCATCGCGAAAGTTTTCCAACGTATCGAAACGAGAGGTTGCTTCACCAGGCGGATAGTCGGCGCAACCGTGGCCATTAAGAAACGAAATAATTTCGTTGAAAGGCGTTTATTGTATAACGTTCCCTACTTTCCCTCCAAAACCAGACGAGATGTACATCGACTAAGCTTGTGGCACCTCTCGCTTCTACCGATTCTTCCGAGAAAAGTAATTAACATAAAATGCGAGCAGGGAATACGAAAGTCCGCATGAATAGGCGTAATAATGGTCATGCACGCGACCCGCTATTTGACGAGCCTTTCAAACAGAAGCGGCTACTGCTGTTTAGTATCAGGCGCTCGCAAGGCGTGGAAAGAATCGTTCGTGACAGTCGTAACACTTTCATGGTTCGATCGTTAAGCGGCGATATCGACGACAATAACGGTATGCTCTGCTACCATCGATGTGTTCTGTTGTGCGCCGTGAACCTCCTTGAGAATCTACGCTCGTCCATTGTCCTCGAGATTACATAAGCGATTGCGTTCTCCGGTCTTGAAACTTTTCAACGACCTCCGTGCGGCTTCGGGATCGATCGTGGGATGCTCGTTATCGCGTCATCGACCTTATCGATACCAGACGCCGAGAAGATTAATGAAAACGTCATTAATAGAATAAACGGCTTCTGTACATGAAATCTAAGCAATTGGAAGTTTCATCGAAAATAACGAACTACATAGCTTCACGATTCGAATCGTGATAACGAGCTACTTCCAAACCCTTCGTTTCCGGCAGCTATTTTTTTCATTTAACGGCTCACTTCTATTTTTATGTACATGTACATAACCCAGGTCACGATTTACTTTACTGTTCGAGTTTTGCACTCGCCCATTTCAAGCCCGACTTGGTATTTATGTCGCGTTCAGCGTAGCAGAAGCAGAAATACGAAGGTATTAGAACAAAAGTAGTAAGGGTTGAAGGGATCGCCCAGGTGAACGCATTTTCGAGTGATGCTCAGGCGAACGAGGGCACCAGGGTCCACGTTTACCGAGCTGTCGAGAAGTGGTGCAAGCATCGGGAGGAGTCGTTGAAAAGGTATGGGAGCGTGAGATCCGTGTTTTTCCCCGCATCGTCGTGTAGTATCTCAAACGGCTAGCTCCTTAAATGAAACAGTGAGGTAGTTCCTTGAGAACGTCGCGAGCCATGCGCGTTTAAAAATGCGTTAACAGGTTGCAACGAGTGCTTTCCGTGTCAGTGATCCCCGACTGAGAAAGAGAGAGAAAGACGAGAGGAGAGAAGAGATATCTCGGGTATCTTCACGGGTGTCGTCGAGGAGTATCTCACCTCGACGCCCAGCCTGGAGTAGAGCTCTCCTCTTTGTAGCGCTTTTCTCTTATCCGGCGAATCGCCCGATCGGACGCGCACTTGTCTTTCAAGATCAAACTCGAACGGAAGCCACGGGGAATCGACGAATATGTACGCAGGCACGCTAGTAAGAAACGCGCTGGCCGCTTCGTACCGCCCGATAAGGAAATTTGTAATCTCCCGATAATTACGGATTCACGGTGCACGGGTAAAATGGTAATTACGTCGTAAATAGTCATATGTAAATTGGTTCGCGATGGAAAGTCTCTGGCCTTCGGCAGGTCGCGTACGTACATACAAGTATCTACGTCCATAGATCGCCGAGTCTGTAACCCGAAATGGCAACTTCTAAAAAGCGAAAGCCCCGAAGGTGCGTAGGAAAGAGCAGACGTTGGAATTTCCTCTTTGCCTTCGGTAACGTTCGGGGAGAGCAAAAGGAACGGGACAAAAAGAGACGGAGGGACAAAGATAAGAAGACGAGTCGAGGCCCTCCGGCTGGCTGCTGGGGCTAGGAGTAGTAGTAGTAGTTCTAAACTAGTGTCTCGTTCTTTCTAATGACTGTCATTTACCCGGTGTCATCCTCTTGTCCTGCAGCATCCGACAAGCAGCGACGGCCTCTTCATACTGCGTACGCAATCTTTTCGATGCAATGTCCGAGCCAAGATGGATTCCCGACGTCATTAGGGAGCATAAAGTGTCTCTCTCTCCTTGTTTCGTTCGCCGTCCCGCCGTTACCCCTTTTTCTTTCTATCCCTCGTCTTTTCCGTCTGCACTGTGGAATTTGCCTCGACTCCTCCGTTGCGTCGCGTCGCGTCGTTCGCTGCACGATTGCGCTGGGCAATGGAGCGCCAGGTGTGGTCATTAATTTCGCAGCGCGCTGCGGAAAAAGTCCGCGAGTAGGCAGAGTCGAACAAAGCTGTTCCGAGGAGAGCCAGCCGGTCACCGCGCACTGCGCCGCGGCAGAGACCGCGGCTTGAAACGAGCATTTTTGTCGACGAATTGTTCGCGAAGGTGAACGTATATTCGGAATTACTGTAATTCCTATCCGTCGAGCAGCCACGAATTTTCCAACTTTTACTTGGCGAACGGCCGTTCGCGATTTTAATTGCTCTCATTATGGATTTTATACAACGTTCGACAAAAAACGATACTTGCTCAATTCATGGAAGAACGTACATATTTGACATAAAGTCATTTCTACAGTTGGAACATGTCAACGTTTCCAAGCTCCGAGATTCTCTGAAGAGAAAATTCGTCTTGTCGAGAGTTGAATTACGGCATCGCAATGCGTACACACGAAGAATATGTAATTACCAACGGTAATTACCTACTTGTTTAGTGGTAAAATCTATAGGAGAGAGAAATCAATGTTATTCATTTAAGCGAGTATCACCCCCCATAAGGTATGCCTGGCGCGTGACAGTCTTGCCACAGATATCTAATAACCAAAACCTCTATCGTATACAAGAGACAGACGTAACTATTGCATAGATCTCACGGAAATTTTTCGATATTCGTTCGTGGAAATTTCAATTTTCAATCGTAAAACGTAACTTTGTCGTTAATGAGAAACCGGTCGTGGCTTCGTGTGATTTCCCCAAGTAATGGAATAATACTGAGAAAGTTGAATGTTGCTCGGTTTTACGTAACGAAAAGAGGAGGCTCATTAACGCCGGTTTAAATCCGCGTTAAAGTTATAACGCGTGCTCGGGAATTCGTACGCTGTATTAAATGAATTGAGCTTCCCATTCCAGGCCTGGCTGGTAACGCACAAGACTAATGATGATATCAAGCTCGCGAACTCACTTTCAGCGAATCCACTTTTTCACTTTCGAAATGAAATTGAACGTGAACGTAATTTAATTGGTGTCTGATTTTCGCAGGTCGGGCGGTGCACCCAGCACGGCCGGTGCCTTAGTCCCATCGACCGGTGGCGGTCCTGGAAATCCGACAGGAGGCGGCAGGATGGCCGTCATCGGTGTGACCAGGAACGTCAGACTGAGACGGCGTGGAGCGGCCGGTTTCGGTTTCTCTCTTCGAGGCGGCAGAGAATACGCGGCCGGGTTTTACGTCAGCGACGTTCAACCAGGAAGCGAGGCTCACAGAAATGGATTAAGGGTAAATTCCTAAGCCAGCTCCACTTGAGCGACATGAATCGGGACTGTAATCGCGAAAAAAAAGATTTCTGCTCTGTTTCGTCGACGGTGCAGCACCTTTTACGTGTTAGTTTCCAGCTGGTTGACTTTTTACTTTCAGGTCGGCGATCAGATCATAAGGGTGAATGGATATCCAGTGGAGGACGCTGTTCATCAGGAAGTCGCGCTTTTGGCAAAGAACCAACAAGTTCTCGTCCTCAAGATTCGAAGTAATTATCCAACATCTTTCTGTTATCGATTAACTGACAATTACAATGGTCCCAGCCAAAGGCTAACTTGAACCGATGCGATTCTCAGTCCTTAATTTTTTACCGTCGAATTAGAACGACGATTGATCGATCTTATCGATTTTGTTTCAGGCGTGGGAATGATACCTGTGAAAGAGTAAGTACCGCGTCGCTGATTAAGAGTTCCGTGTCTATGTACCTCGCTTTCCATTTCGCGGAACGTTCCTTCGTTATAAAAGTATTTTATGATTCACAAAGCAACCCGAACGATCCGGTCACCTGGCACATGGTGCAACAGCAACAACAGCAGTTACAGTACAACGAAACTGGTTTGGGCACTGTTCCGAGCACCGAAGTCAGAATTCGGATTCTTGTCGGTGAGAAGGGACGCCTCGGGTGTGGCGTTTGCAGAGGCATCGTGCCAGGCCTGACTGTTCAGGTAACTATACTTCTACTGACATTTAATAGCAATTCCGTAGAAGCTTGTCGAAGTTAAAGATTCGATACGCGATATCGTCAGAAGCCATTTGAATTCGAACGTGTTTAATAATCTTGGAGACGATGGAATCGAGAACCGATTTGAATTCTTTCAGGGTACCAGAGACGACGGCCCGGCCAGGGCGGCAGGCCTGAAGGCCGGCGATATTATAATATGGTGCAACGGTCAACGGCTCACCGATCTCCCGTTCGAGAGAGCCATTGAAGTAATGAGAAGCTCGGCCATTCTGGACCTGATAGTGCAACGACCTACACCGAACCACCTTTATGACTGTCCCGAACCAATGTGGACTCATGGCTCGAGCGGTTACGATTCAGAGACGTCGAGCGTGGCCGCGGCCAGCCCGCAGCCTCAGAATTCCTCCTATTCGCCGCAGCATCATCACGATCCCAGAATGCATCAACGGTATCCCCGCGATGACGCGTGCAACCGAAACGGAAGGTCAGTAGGTAAAAAAAGTAGACCGATCAGATCAGGAATTTATTCATTTAGTTACCTTCATTTCCGGAGAACGATAAGACGGATTTTTAATTAAAATCAGGGATGATTGATCGAATGGTCTTTTGTCGCGATGTCGATGTATCGTCTGCGCGGTTTACGTCGAACATGTATTTGTTCTTTTACCGACTGTTATCGAGTAGCATCTGATGAATTAACACCAGGAGAAAGTCGCTCTATTAATAGGCCGTTCGCTGATAATGATCGCATTCGCCGGGTAGCACGATGAATTCCTGACCGCGACATAAAGATTCAACCCCTCTACTTTAACTCGTGTTTCCTCACGACACCGTTTAATTAGAATTAGAAAGTACCGTGCGGTGCAAAAATTATTGGTAACACGTGTCCGTGAATTTTCCAGGATCTGCTGCCCGCTCGCACTGTCCACGAGCAGCTGCAGTTCAACGGAATGGTCTCACGGTGATCAGGTGAGATTATATTTACAGAAAAAATGTTTTTTTTTTCGTAAACTTTTAATACGCGTACCGATTCGCAGCCCCAAGAATGGACGCGTAAGTCGAACAACACCACGGTGATTCGCATCAACCAGAGCCAGAACCAAAATCACAGGTTTATGGGTCCGGGTCGTCCGAACTCACGCGGTAATTACGAGGACGAGATCGACAACGAGCCACTTTACGATCCCGTGGCGCCGAGGATCGATTACGAAGTTCACGACTTCGACGCGAATCCGAAAGACGAAGCGAACCGACGCTTGGCTTGCCGAAGGGACAATATGCGTCAACAAGACGTCATTTACGACGGCCCGGCCGATGACATTCCCTATCATGGATCCAAAGTGAGTTACGTGAAAATTATTATTTGAAAATTGAACAGCAGTAAAGTTCCCAAGGCGTCGGAAGTACAATCTCGTAAAAACACTTTAACTATTCGTTTGTCACAGGAAAATGGCATACAGGATGGAGATAGGAAAACGATAACGACCGTGGAAGTTCATCAAACTGTATGCCCACCCGCGCCACCGCCTCCTATCCCATACAAGTGGTCCGCAGGTTCGTCGAAGTGACTCAACGATATTTCATCCAGCTAAGATTTACCGCATAATGCATACGACACTAACTTAACACTGGTTCCTTTACAAAAAGGAACGTGAATCCTGAATTATTAAAATTCGTTTACAACGACTTTCCATATCTTACATTCCATACCAACTTTCAATGGTTCCATCGTAAACTGAGTCGAGTTCGCATGGATCCTTGCAGACTCAAAGCCAATGAACGCGAAGGGTATGCAAATGGGTAGCACGATGTCGATGGGAAGCACGGGCTCGACGGAGACCGAATCCAGCCTCGAGTCTTCCTGCAGCAAAGACTCAGCGTCGACCTCTTCGTCCCTGTCGACGTCCTCCTGCGAGCCGCCGTCGACGGTCTCGTTTGGTTCGATCACTGCCGCCTCGACTGGGACCAATAAAACGAACGAGACCGCGGCCACCGTACATCTGACCACTCGCAACTGTGCGACAAGGACGTCGCCCATCGCGTGCACTGATCTGAGCACCGCTATCACGCAGGAATTGCAGAGGCGGGCACAGCAGGTAGGATTCACGATTTCTTTACAGGGAAACGAAATAATATACCGCCTGGATCGCGTTACCCGCTTGCTTTCATGCATTACCTGTTACTGGAATCTCAATTTTTAAATACGCGAACGTTCCCTCTCAGACGTTTCGGTTTTCAAATATTCTCAAAGGATTTCCGATGCAATATAAATATAGTTTTTTATATTACTGCACGTTTGAAACAAATACTTACACAAATCGATCGAGTTGGAATTATACAAGCATTTGTCATTTCACAATATCTCATGAGTCATTTATTTGCAAAGATAACATCTGATGTAACAATCGATACTATCTCACAGTGCTAGAGATTGAACGAGTAATCCTTATCGACACCTACATACATGCCATCCTATCCATTCGTTTGTTATAGAGAAATATGAATAACGCAGCCAAAATGGAAGCAGCGAAGGAGAAGACCATAGAGCCACGGAAGCCACAAAACCCGGAAGCTCTGAGGGCGCAGGAGCAGAAAGTTACGCACGATAAGGTAAATCAAGAATTTCATGTATGAACAAGGCTGTTTGTTTACGAAAGTTGGACGACGAGGCGGAAGCAGAAATCGTTGGATCACAAAGCATTCTTTTTCAAACGAGTTTGTAGACTGCATACTGACATTTGAACTTTAACTAAACTTCAACGTGGTACCAGCGTATTCATAATATTAGCCCACTCATACGTTAAGCATTCGTATCACGCGTTCCCTCAGCGTTCGTGTGAGAACTCGATTCTCGTATCGCAAACACCCACTCGATCCTTTCCTATCCGCAGGCATCGCTAACTCTTGTCAGTTATACCTAAACACCCGAAGAGGTTGTTCACTTCGTAAGTACATTCGAAATTAACGTTAAATCGATTTAACTTTGACGGGTGTTCAACCGTCGATGAAAAGTGCCGACGATTACCTCAAACGTTTTTCTCTCATCCTGGCTACGAGTGGAAGGCCCTTTAATCGATGCGTCGGAAAAAAAATATACGAGGAACGTAATTAAAGCGTGTGCAGAGCAATCGTATGGTAATAATTAGTAGAGAGCTAATTAAAAATTACCGCGCGCGATGTTGCGATCGAACTTTCGTAGATGATGAACGCTAGAAAGACAGTTCACAGGCGTATGCAAGCGCAACGCGAATTCAGTTTGCCCGCGAACGCCGATAGGGAAGCACGAAAAGGATTCTTCCCTTTGCTCTCGATTTATTCATCGTCGATTATAAGAAACAAGAGGACAGTTTTTAAGAATAGCACCGATAAAGCACACTTTATTAAATTGTTTTCAGTTGATGGAGGAGTTCAAACGTGCTCACCGAAAAATGTTTAACACTGCCCAGCAAAAAGTTCATTTCTCTGATCAGGCGCCGGAGCAGGTAAGACGGTGATATAGCTTATCTTAGTGACGTTATACTTTAAATACGTGATTCTCCTTCGATTCGTCGAAGGAACGCACGGATTTTTATTTAAACTATTTTCTCGAATCTGCTGATTACTGTCATTACTGTTACGAATAAAAAATTAAAATCAATTCTCACATAATTTATTTAGCCTAAACGATGGAACGTTCTTGTTGAGAGATTCTATAAAATTCAGATTGCATACGTAATAAGTAAAGGTCGTTCGAACTTGGCCATTTACCACTTTCACCGTTTCCTTTCTTCGAGAGCGAAGACGGTGCTGTTTCTAATTGCACGAAAAAAGATCTACGGCCGAGGAAAAATTCCTCGGGCGCGGCCGCGAGTCAGAAGGGGGAACGATGCGCGATAGAAAAAGCGGAACTGGGGATGTGTAAGCGTTTTAATTAAAAATCCTATTAGCAACACTCGGGAGTTAAACGATCGCGGTGAAAACCGTAGCTACCAGTAGCAGCCTGGCAACCGAGCTCCAGATTAAATATTGATATGGAAACAGAAAAATACGTAACAGTGTAAATATGTAACGGAGCATTCTGTTTCATTATCTACGATACGGCGCGCTCGTTCGTCGTTTTAATTACACAATCTCTCTCGAGGATCTGGCAAAGCAAATAAATAACAAGCCTCGAAATTATTCGTACGGGGCCAGTCATTGTCTCGGAAAGAAACGAAACGCGAGTGCAACGCATTAACGCAATACGCTCAGTTGCACCTGAATTCGCATGCATACCAGTCGCGTTTACGGAGTATTAGATATACGGGCAGGTACGAAACGATATCTTCGCGCAGTCACGGTGTCGTCGCGTCGTCAGTCCGCACGAATCTATCGCGCGATACGTTGGGTGCTCGATTCGATTCGGTAATGACTGTTCCGCGAACGAGAAGCATTAAATCACTCTGCTAATTGAATCGCGACGATCTAGTTAATTAACCAGACGATCGATTACGATACAATAACCGCGCATGCAGAATTGAATGCTTTCTAAATCAACTCCGTTCGCCTCGAACAGTTCCATTAATTAACGATCTGCTTATCAAACGATTCGGCCGCCGCGCAGTAAGACTCGCGAGGAAATCGATTGAATTGTTCGTGGCTCGCGACGTTCCACGCTCCCGAGAAATAAACGAATTACCGGAGATTCGGTAAGTCATTACGCAATCGATTTATCGGTCGGTGCTGTCGAGACGAACGGCGGACGGTTCAACGATTCCTGCAACAGTCGATCATCGGTCATCTGTTCGAACAGACCGCGAATCGCGTGAGTCGAGGTTTTTCCAGTATCACCGACGCGACGTCGACGTTTCTTACGAATTGCCGGAGACGTGCGAAATAATGGAGCTTACATAAGAACCGCGAGCGACGTTCGTGACGGCGTTTTCAGTCGACTCGAATAGGTTTCAAGGTGGCCACAGCGAAACACCGCGAAGAGCAGGCTATGATTAACGAAAAATCTGGCGGTATTTAATGTCCACCGCAGCTAATCGACGCGATTCAGCTCCAGTGAAATTTACGTCCAGGCACGCGACGCGCCGCAGAGTGTTTCGAAAATCGCAAGGAACTTATCGGCTGTAAGGCCCGAAAGTTTTTTCTCGGAAAAAAAAAAAAAACTGTTCACTAAGGAACACGGAGTGATTTGCAGAAAAGACGTTCGAAACCTGTTACGCATCGCTGCTGCGACTAGCGAAGGAAAGTCAATCGAAGGAAAAAATGTTAGACTTTTGAAACCGAAGACATGAACGGTTTGCTGAACAACGGGGAACGGAGGAGGAGGAGGAGTCGCGTGCTGGTTACCATTACGCCTTACGACGTTAGTTATCGGACTTATCTGACTAATTACCATCGAACACATGCAAAGTTGGTCGGAAGGTCTTTTCAGAACTTTACATGCGAAGTTTGTCGAACGTTTTGAATTACTCATTTCGCACATGCTAGACAATATCCAAAGTTGCTTAGTTTAAGAAATGGTTGCTATAAAAATCAACCTTATCGCGAAACTTTCTGCATAATTAGAATAAATTTTTTTTTCCGTTCAATCGACAATAGGAGCAAGAGAAGAGGGTGCTGAACGCATCGACTACGCCAACGATTCCGCCGGCGCCGCCAGCACCTCCTGCACCACCGGCGCCGCCGGCTCCACCGCCACTTCCGCTTCTCTCGAAGACTAAAAGCACTGAGGATTCTGTAGAAATGCAGAGCATCGAGTCGTTTAAGCTGAAAGAGGCGCCGAATCCAGTGATCCCAAAGCCACCGCCAACTTATTTTCCTATGCAGAATGCCGCGCCGGCGAACGGAAGTCCGCGGCACAACGGTAATGGAAACAAACCGCAGATGAACGGGAAAGACGTGTCTACCAGTCCTGTAACGGAAACGTCGAAGACAGCCGCACCACCGGCAGCAGCGCAGAATTCGAAACCGGCGACTGGGAAAGTCGCGATTAGGATAGGCGCTTACGAGGGGGAAGCTAAGCAGCCGTCTAAACTCGACTTCCTGTCGCAGCAATCTCGTTCGGAGAAAAATGGCACGGACGAACTGGCGAACGGACCAGTAGTCTCAAGGTTGCAGAACGAACTGGCTGCTACGTTGCAAAGATCGAACCTAAGAAGAAAGACTGAAGGGGTGAGTCACTTCCATTTCGTAAAAACAAATACTTGATTTTTGCATAAAAATTGATCATCTGACGTGACAAATTTAAAGAGTTTACAAATATGTATATGAACGCGTAATAGCGCCTTCGAAGTGACGTTTCTAAACATAGGAAATTAACTTAATTATATGCTCGTCGTTAAATAACGTGATCGTAAATCTAAAAGGGGAACATTTCAAGGAGATGACTGGAAATAAATTCGCGATCGTTCGTCTGTGTTCTAGGACACACAGTCAGGTGTTAAGACGATCCCCGAAAATCCAGCAGTGGCCAACAACGAGACAACGAGCGCAGAGCCTGGGAAGCTGTCGCAGAGCAACGTCGAGAAACTGGCGTCCGCTCTGAACAAAGTGACCATCAAAGTGAACCCGGATCATAATAACCGATAGGATGCTAGTTTCCGTTATATATACGTATACATATAAAAGGGAAAAAAGTCGCAACGAAACCGTTTTTAGGAGTCCACCCATGTACCTCTGCCACTTTGTACATTTTTGCACGCTCTTTGAAAACCTCTACATCGACTTTTTATTCGTATTGTTAGAAAGGAAGACCGCTCCCCCTATTGGTGAGCTTCTTTTTTACGTCTTTTACCTGTACACGTCTTTTTTTATATGTTATTTATTATCGTACAATAGCGAGTAAGGAATAAGGAAGGCCAACGAATCTCGTTAATAACCGAGGCGACCGGCCCCTTTACCACGTAGGCCCGTGTCTTTAAAGCAAAACTTACAATTAGTCCCCTCCGTCGACGACTATTGTATCGTACAAGAGTACAGGTCGCGATATTCGATGGAGGCATCGAACTGATAAAAATAAAGGCGATGATACCTAATCAAACCGTTTCTTCTTCATTCCTCCCATGGAAAATACGTAACACTGTCGCTGCATAAATGCATAAAATATCCATACATACATACAATATAATCTATATTTATATTTTACGATAACTTCACTTTTATGTAGTCAGTAAATTTTAAACGCCCTCTGTTCACAGCGCACCTCAGTGTGTCTCGATAACAGAATTCGTTTAGAATTTATTAACCTCCCGCGAGCAAACACGTTACATAAATCGGTTGTTCTTCTTGTTGAAAAATTCACCGGTCGACTTGACACCTCGTAGATGACGTCTTCGAACGATTCTCGTTCTCGTGCCCTTAAGTAAAAAATTTGACTCTATGAGCAGGACTCTATGCAAAGACAAATTCTATCGTCATGAAACGAGAAGCTCTGCGGTTGAACAGAACAGAATTCAGAAGCTGTTGGCGTCGGAATACTCTGACTTTGCCGACGTGATCCTGGTGGAGTCGCCGTTCGCCGAGACCACCAGGAACGGGCGAGGAATTCGACAGGTTTCTCTGGCTCTCAGCCCATCGAAATTGATCATAGCCGCGGACGTTTTCAAGGGGAACTCGGAGTTCCTGTGCCCGCGCGATCTCGATCCCAGCATCGAGAGCTTCGAATTAATTTCGCTGTACCCTTTGCAATGCGTCAGCTTGAGCGTGTTCAGCAGAAGACACCGTAAAACTTTAAAGGCAAGGTAGACGTTCACTGACAAAAATTAAAACCGTTCGATACAGACCGATTCTGTGCACCTTTCACGAGAGGTTTCTCAAGTACATGTAATTAAACGACACGCCGCGTCGTTTACCTGACCAATGCTGATATAATTAGATTTATCGATGGAAAGGTAAGCTATTACGAGCTCGGCGGTATACACGGGAGGAACGTTCTCTGGCGAGAATGGTGCGAGCAGGTGGAAAGTTTACTCGGTAAAAGGATGGACGGAAGCTCGTTGTCGGAAACGACTGCCGCGAGTTCATCGAGCAGTTCGACCTTATACATGCTTTCGTCAGAAATCGAGATTCGAAAGGATCGCAGGAAAGAAGGAAAGAAAGCAGTGTGCAGGTGATATTTCCTTCTCGCTTCGTATTTCATATTAATAAGCAACAAGAAATGTTGTCTTCTGTTGTACTACTGTTATATTATTGAATATAGAGTATGGGCTCATTATGGAGGCGCGGGTGATTATGCACCTCCGACGTGGCGCCACAGAGACTTATACCTTGGACCGTCGTACAACGAATTGGTCGACGGGCAATATACTCCGATTCCGATAAGATTCGCTGGCGCCAGCTTAGAAAATATAAAGGACGAGTTAAAAGATTTTTCACCGAGTAAAGGAACCCGTAGTTGGCCCAGGTGTCGTTGTTTCGATGAGAAATACAAAAACAACGGCGGTCTCTGCGATGTGCTCTTTATCAGAGACCATAATCGTAAATACTTCAACGCGAACAAGTTCTTCGCGACCTGTCAAAGCTGTCCTTGCAATCGGCTGCAAATAAGGATGTTCGACAACAAAGCCACGAAAAAGAACGTCTGGTACGACGAAGACTCTCAAGAAGAATCGAGAAGCCCTAAGGAGTGCGTGGCGCATAGGATATCTAGATTCGGAATCGGTGTACCAGAAAAATGTCACTCGGGACTGGTCCTGGGTCCAGTTCGTACTGAACGCGAATGTCTGCCCCCGAAAATAATAAAATACAACTTTCACGTTCTTATGGAGGATGCCGTGAAAGCTTGGGAGGGCAACGAGAAAGATCGACAGAAATCTTCGAAGTACACTAAACACTTTAGGCGATACGGCCTTTGCACTGCCCCTCATTTCCTTTACGCGCTCGGTCCCTGGTCCGTGCAACCTGGAGAACGGAGCACGTTACAAGGCCGAAGGTCATTCAGTTTGGTTACTATACGTCGACAACCAAACGACTCGGAACTGAGACTTCCGGTATCGCGTCGTCAACTAGCGGCCAGTGTATCATACACTGGCCTTCAGTCAGGTAGGTTTGGATCCATCGGGATCTCGGCAAAGGGACGCGTCGTGCTATTTTGGACACCAGAGTTCTGGTACAGGCCCAGACCTGCCTCCGCTGCTTACAGGTAGTAACGGCAACAAACTGTATTGGAATAGAAACTTGATTTCACTAATCGTGTCCCGACAGGGAATTGAGGCGACACTTGGATCATCTGAGAAACTTTCGCCAGGGGAAAGAACGACCGTCCAAACGGAAACTGTTCTGCAGAAGAAAGAAGTGTCAATGCGAAGATGACTCCGCGATAGTTGCGGAGGAGAAACCGAGTTTCCTCGAGCGAATCTTCTCCGGAAACGGATCTTGTAAGAAGAAAAAGAAATCGGAGAACCAAGAGAACGCAGCTACCGCTCAATTGACGAGACTGCTGCGAATGGACTTCCGGATAACGATTTGGGATATAAACAGTAACATCTTGGCGACGCAGCTGACGCTCATCGATCGCGATCTCTTCGTCCGAATTCCCGCGGAAGAGATCGAGATCTTGGTATTTCAAAGGAGCTCGAGGAACGCGCCTAATTTTGCGGCGTGGATCGCCTTCGGTCATCGAGTATCCTGTTTAACCGTGAGCGAAATTCTCGCCGTGAGGAAGTTAACTATGAGGGGCAGAATTATTGCCAGATTCATAAATGCAGCCAGAAAATGTTTCTCCATGGGAAACTTTCACTCGTGCCGATCGATTTTGGCCGGATTGCAAGCACCGGCTATATTTCGACTGCGGCATACCTGGTCTTACTTGCGTACTCATCACGCTTTACGGTATCTTCCTACTTATGCTTTAGTGCCTACTTAAGGTAGCTCGATAGCGTTTGCAAGACATATACGATTTTAATACAAGTTGAACTAAACAATAGTTAAAGTTTCAAA